TTACCCTGTCTTACACCGTTCTTATCCTTGCCCCCAAATTCTCCATGTTTACTGACTGGTTTACCTAGTAAAACATAAGCTCTCATTCACTCTTGTAACCTTAGCACCTACAACAGTATCTGGTACGTGACAGTTGTTCAAGGTATAGCCCTGCACAAAAGATTAGAAGAGAAAAGGAGAGACTCCCGATGTGGGACGTTCACGCTTCAGGAAGTGAGAGAATGCTGAACTTCCAAGATGAGGGGAAGGGAGATGGGAGGTGAATCGTAAGAGAAGCAGCAGTGACTCATTCAGGTAGATTCCTATGGGCCTTTGTTAAAGATTTTCATCAGAAGATTAAGACCAATGAAGGGACTCTGAAAGCTTTCAAAATGAGGAGCGCTAGAATTAGGTTTGTGTGTGTGTGTATGTGTGTGTGTGTGTGTGTGTGTGTGTTTTTAAATATCAGCCTGGATTCTATATGAAAAATGAGTCACACAGGAGCAAAAAAGGGTTCAGGCAAACTAGTTAGGAGGCTGTCCTGACGCCTCTGACCAACGAGAAGGCAGCATGATCACAGGTGGGCAACAGGCATTGGAATGACAGGGTGGCCTGAGGAACCCGTGACGATGCTGAGAAGAGAAAGAAGGAAATACGTGAAGGCAGACTCTAGATGTTTGGTTTGCCAGCCGGTGAGGCAGCATTCTCTAAAATACTAGCAAGTGGCCAAGGGGCGGATTTGGCGGAGGAAGATATGGACTGACCCTGGCACGGTGGCTTGGGGGCCTCTCCTAGATATCCCAAGGGAACTGGCCAGTAGATAGCTAGGTAAACAGGTCTGAGATTCATAAGAGAGGTCTGGACTGGAGGAAAATAAAGATTCAAGAGATGTCATTAAATAATCATAAGACTTCACTTATCCTTGGAGAGGCAGTAGCAAGAGAGAGAAGCTTTGAAGGATTCTAAAGTCTCTGAGAAGAGTCCGTGTGAGAATGGTGGGGGTGCTGACAGAGCCCAGGGGGCAACAGAGACGGGGGTCTCACAGAACTGCAGAGGGCCCAACTGAGCTATTGCAGAAGAGTGTGACCGGGTATGGGAGGGGATGGTCAAACCCTCAAAGGGAAGTATTCCACACCAGGCTTACAGGGGGGTACTTGCTACCAGGCTTCTACGAGTTCAGAAGCCATGCTTCCCCCAAGGCCAAATGGCTACATTTCTCAGCCTCTCTTGTAAACAGGTGTAGATGTGACCCTGTGACTCATTCTTCCCCACCTCCTTTCTCCACCCTACTGCTTGCATCGTGGATGAGACAGCTGGAGCTCTAGCAGCCTTCTGCTTCCTGAAGATGACAGCCAAGAGATGGTAAGGAAATGAGCTAGAAAGTGCCTGCACCTCTGACAATTTCATGGAACCTCCATGCCTCTCTCTGGCTACCGACTTCCAGACTTATTTTAAAAGAGAGAAAAATAACTGATCTTATTTAAGCGCCTACTAATTGAAGATGTTCTCTTACACACAGTCAACCCTAATCCTAACTAGAACACTAGCCAACTGGTCTACTCCATCCCCTGCCTTGCTCTACCCTTACCTTAGGTCATATCATTGCCCTAACAGGGAATATCCTTCTCCCCCTTGCCTGTACTGACTTGAATCCTGCCCCTCCTTTGGAGGACGGATCAAATTAGGATGGATCAAATTCTACCTCCCACCAGAGATTTCCCTTCCGCTTCCTCCCCCGAACTCGGGCACTGTCTGTCTGCCTCCCCTTGGGTATCTAGCCTATGCTGCCTTCCCAGGGAGTGATTTACCCTTCCATACTTATCTCCTGACTCCTTGACCAGGCTCAGGACCACCAAGGCAAGGCCCAAGCTTTCCAGGGCCAGAGAGTCACTGGACACAAGGTCATAATGCATATCCCCACACTAAGCCTCTCTTACCTCTGCTCACACAAGGCAGATAAGCAGTCGGGGGTGGGGAGGATCGGGGATGCCAGAAAGTATACAAACACATTTAGAAAAACGAGACGGCAGGCGGAGTTATAGTCGGTTAGTTAAAAATCTAAAACTATTTCTAATATTAAGATGTAGCTTAGGGGCAAGATCTGGTATGTCTTTTTCAAAGTATACAACCTAGATGTTAGACTGCCCTATGACACGATGCCAGCAGGTCCCATTCATGTAGAAAACAACATGAATGGCAACCCCCAGAGAGACGTGCAGTGTTGTGGTCATGCTCCCAGAAAAACAAGTCCATTCAGAAAAAAACAGCAAGTCAGGTGGTGAGGTGGCTCAGGTCTATAATCCCAGCACCTTGGGAGGCCAAGGTGGGCAGATCACCTGAAGTTAGGAGTTCAAGACCAGTCTGACCAAAATGGTGAAACCCCGTCTCTACTAAAAATACAAAAATTAGCCGGGTGTGGTGGTGCACACCTGTAATCCCAGCTACTCAGGAGGCTAAAGCAGGAGAATCACTTGAACCCAGGGAGCAGAGGTTGCAGTGAGCTGAGATCTCGCCATTGCACTCCAAACCGGACAACAGAGTGAGACTCCATCTCAGAAAAACAAAACCAAAGAAAACAACATATTTTCACACTTGCAACATACTCTTCACAAATTGATGTCAATAATGAATTACTTTTGATTACTTAACAAGCATTTTTTTCAAACATTCTAAGAGCAAATACAGACAAGGCAAATGATTTGCAACTAACACAGGTCGTTCGTAAAGGTAGTATAATGTTTTTAAAATTACGTAATTTTTTCAGCTTATTGTTTGCTGCCACAATTGTTCAATTCAATCAAAGAGGACCCCAAGGATTTGCACTCAGGGCTGATATCGCAACAAGTGCTACCGCTGTGGGGAAGATAGCAGCAGAGACAAATGCCGCTGGGGACGTGTAAACAGAAACTTCAAATTTAGATTAAGCCCGAGTGGAGTGGGAACATACCCAGCGAGTTCAGGGACAGTGTCCTGATGTTTTTAAAACGCCCTGATTGTGAGAGCTGAGACGGGAGATGTGAACAACGGACACTCTGGGGTCCTCACCGAAAGCAGCGAGGCCAATTTGAAGCCCACACTAAGGAGGCATTGTAAATGAACCCAAGAACATGAGCTTGGCACAGAAGGAACAAGTTGAGAGATAAGAAGTTTCCTGATTAAAACCAACTGACAGCTGTTTCCAACCGCAGAAGACGCCGAATGCAAGTCAGTATAACAGGCTACAGGTCAATATCATTTTCCTTCCAGATGGTTTAAGCATAACTTAGCAACTCCCCTGCCACCTCGTTTCTGCTGAGAACTCAGCCGGGTTTTAACACTCCTGCCAAAACTGCCCCCTTCCGGGCCCAAGAGTCCAGGATTCCGTGCCAACCCTCGTGGCCAGATGCCACTTGGGGATGGCGCCTGTGAGCACCAAAGCCGGCCCTTTTGGGCTGAGTCACTACTTGAAACCACCAGGTGTCAGTAGCGAGTATAGAGACTCCCATCTGCAGTGCTCAGGGAACTTCAGCCAGACTCTGAAGGGGGAGAAACCGGATGCTGTGGCTTTGGGGACAAGCGGTGTGCTATGGTCACATTCTCAGGCACTCATATTTCATTTACTCAGTTGCCAGCTCACCATCCAAAGCCACCATGTAATATCTGGGATGGCTTTAATTCAGTGTCTTTCACACACTCAGAGACAAGATTAAACACTGCTCTCACTTCAGTAGAACTGGCATCTTTTCTCTGCTTCCTCCCCAACCCAGAAGGTAAAAACATAAAGCAGGGTTTTCTACTCCTTGCTTATCTTCTCCATATAAATTACCAAATGAGCATTTTAGCAGTTTCTATTTGTACTGTGTTTCAGGGAATTTGGTTTATAAAGCTTCAGCCACATGTTTGGGTATTACTAGGTACAGAGCCGTACGAGGGAAAAGTCCAGCAAAGAAACTGGATTATGCAAAGCCAGAACCAAAGGCCACTTCACTGCCTGCTTTATTGAGCTGGATCTAAACTGGTTTCTCTCATCTGGTCTAGCATCTTGAGCATATATACTAGATTTATGAGTAACTGCAGAAATATTTAAATCTGTTATTTCCGTGGCCTTTTAAACCCCGAATGTCAGGAAAGCTCTGCCGTATCTCCAGGTACTTCCAGGCTGAGGACACATCTTTTGGAACAAAAGGCCACATGGATCCAGGTCCACGGAGTCTCAGCATCAAGTGTTGTGGCCTACCCAGCCACCAAAATAGCTCATTCTATTCACCTCTGCCTGTCTGCATCCAAAGACGCAGGGCTCCTGGCTGGGCATTCTTTTCCCTCTGGGTGCTTGGGGTATCTAGTTGGTGCTTCTGTTGCCAACTATCCCTTAACTTGACCCTCAGGAAGCCTGGCTTCCACATCTCACAAGCAAAGATGCTGAGGACAGAGGAGAAATACAGTCTTCTGGATAAAGAGCCCCCAGGGCTCAGCTTAGGGTTTTGCAAATAGCTTCAAGTCCTCATCTTGCAACAAGGAAACATTCAAAGGTTTTGATGCTAGGCGGCATCACTGAGGCCCAGGACGGGGAAAGGCCATTAGTCTTGTGTCCATGCAACTGATGGTACAGTGAGAAAGCCCCACTGTCACTGCAGCAGAAAGCAGCAGGACATTTCTGAATAGAGACAGCCACCAAACCAGAGATATATGTTTGATGAGATATCCCAAGGGGGTTTGCCTAAGGTTTAGCTATCATACCAGCTCTACAGCTCCCAGGTTCACATTTTTTTAATCACAAAAGGCATTATCCTAAGTGATCGGGAGGCCACTAAGGACATGTGTCTAGGTAGAGAGAATCACATTGATGCCCAAGATCTCAGCTTCCCCAGCGAGATCACCACCTCTCCCCTTTTGCCCTGGACTCATGGCTCCCTGTCACATCCCACCCCACCCCAGCAGCAACGTTCTGGCTTGTGTCTTCCAATAAGCATTTCCAGGTCTGGACTGAGAAACGCGTTACAGGCATCTAAGGACAAGCTAGTGGGGCACAAAACCAGCCTCACCGTTTGCCGATGATGAGAAACAGTGGTGCACATTTCCTGAAGAAGAGGTGCTACAGTTCTGCCAGAGATCAGTTGAGTGTCCATTGCCCACGAGCCATTGCTAGAGAGAATCAGATAGATATCCTGAGTCAGGGAGGCAGTGAGGAGTGAAGGAGAGGGGGGAAGGAGAAAGCCCCAGGGATGGTGAAAAGCACCCGCATCCACCTGGCTACCCCCCACCCCTGCATGGTAAGAGCCAATGTTTGATTACTTAAAAGCACTTTGTAAGTGGAAAAGTTTCACATGCACACGGAAGCAATTATGTGTAGAGATGTTTACTACAGTAGAAGGAGCCATACACTCAATCTTCTGAGATATTTCTATCCCAGCATCTCTGGGGGTCATTCCCCAAGCCCACCTCTCTGAGCCTATTTCTTTGTTTATAACTCCTATCAATCTGCCATTATTATCGCCAGGCACAATGAAGATACTGTGAAAATGCTTACAAATGTCACACATGCCCAACATAATTATGTCTCACAGAGACTAGAAAATCATGCTTACAAATGTGCCTTAAATTAAGAGGTGAAAGCCACCATGGTAAAACTGCCTGAATGTCTGGTCATCTTCATCGCCAAGAAAATAACTTTCAGATCTAATGGGCTGGATGGTTTTGTAACAGAAGTTACTCTGATGGCCTGTTCCTCTCAGTGGAAGCCTTACTAACAAGGTGTTCTACTTATGCCATAAAGCTGACATGGGACCTGTGAACTCTGTTCCGAAAATTTTAACTTTCCAATTTTAAGTCCTAAAAGGGTGTTGTACAAATTAGGTCACCCATCTGAGTTATGGTTTAGAGAAAAACACAGACAGACATTTTCATAAATATTCTTCTTCAACGAGGCTGCATGGATGAAAAAAATGCTAAACCGTCTTATCAAATGAAGATCGGGGACTAGCCTAGATCTGCTCTGAAGTTACTTGGCTTAGATGCCTGCGCAGCTAACCCAGCCCAGCGCTCGCTTCCTTCCTATCGCTGAATCTGCTCTCCTTTGCTCAAAGCTACTGGAAGGGGGCAGATTGCCAGAAACGTCCCCGGGACGTCTGAGACTTCCAACTGTCTGCAAATAACACAGTACTGAACCAGAGAGAGCTAGGGCTGGGAACCCAGATGGGCAAGGGCGGGCCGCGCAGGGAGCCTCCCCGCCAGGCACTCACGCTGACGATCGTGGAGACGAACAGCAGCACCAGCACCGCGACGTGGAGGACGATGATACCCAGCAACAGGAGGAGCATTCTGGCGGCGAGTTCTGCTCAGCGGAGTTGCTGCCTGCGGGGAGAGCCCTGGGCGTGAGGCCGAACGCACTGGGCCGAGCGAGGGAGGCGCGCGCGTTGGGAGGGTCCCGCGCACTAGCGGAAGGCCCGGCCTGGCCCCGCGCCCGCAGCCCGCCCGCACGGGTCTGGAGCCCTCGCGCAGCCGGCTGCCGAGAGGGGGCAGCAGCCGCCTGCAGGACCAGCACCCGGCGCTCCGCCGGGCCCGCCTGCAAGGGTACATCTTCTGCTCTGGGAACAAAACAGGCGGCGTGCACGTCTAAAATCATCCAGGGAACAGAGGGGATTCCAGAAAATATGAGCGGAGGCCACTGCACGCTTCCACCTACCCCGAGCGCCTCCCCGGGACCTCCCGGGAATGGGGAGAGGTCACGTTCTCCGAGATCCCGGTTCAGAGGGTGAATTCCCCCATGGGGTGGAGGTAGGGGTGAGGGGAGTAGGCGCCCAGATTTCCGTCTGAGACCTGGAGACACCCGCGGCATGCGGTGGGGGAGACAGCGGCTAGGAGGCTGGTTTCCCAGACCCCAGTGCGCTCCGCATTCCGTTAGTCTCCAAGTTTCCACCCAATTCTGCCAGCGTAGAGGAACCGTCTGGCCCCAGCTCAGCCTTGCGCAGACTCCGGCGCCTCCGGAGAGGCGGTGCAGTGCCAGGGGAGTGTGGAAAGGAAAGAATGGCCTGGGAGGGTTGCCCGGACCCTGCGCTTCCAGTCCACCGAGCGCTTCCCCACGCAGCCCCTGGGGGCAGGGGGCATTCTGCTCCTGCGCTAGACCCACGTGCTCGCCTGGGGGTCCAGTCTGCACCTCAGGCACTCAAAGCCAGGACACGGACCCCGTCAAGCCTGAGCTCTGGTCTGGGCGCCGTGGGACAGCAGCCCAAGAGCCAGGACCGATGGGAGCAGATGTCCAGCGGGCGGGAGAGAGAGACAGAGAGTAAAAGGCTGAGTCCGAGAATTCCAGCCGGTCAGAGCCAGCAGGACACCTACCCAAAGTAATGCGGTCCTGGCCCGCCCCTCATTTTAGACTTTGGGGAACTGAAGGCTGGGGTGACCCGTTAGAGGACATGCATGGCTGTGAAAGATCTGGCTGAGACTCTGGGGACCATTTCAGGCAGAGTCTAGGACCAGGGAGACAACGTTTCAATAACTCAGTTTGCAAAGTACCCAATCCCAGGCCCCTCCATTCCTCTCCACAAGCAACACATTCAAAGAAACTCTGGAATGCACTGAAAGAAATAAACAAGGATTTTTGGTGACTCCCAGAGGGTTTGAATTAAACCAATGGCATGAGGCTGGGAACTGGGGAACCACAGGAGTCCGCCACAGGGACTGTTTTGCCAGTGCGTCCCAGAGTCGACGCCTCTTCAGCAAGGCGAAAACTGGGCCGCCCTTATGCTCTATCCAGACACCAGCATCATCACCCTTGCCCCGTAAGGGCTTACAGACCGTAAAGGCTCTCCTCGTTGTATTACTCCAAGTCCCATTGGAAGGAAACAGGGCAGACCCGGGACCCTGCGGCCCTGACAGAAGCCCCAGGGAGCCGGCAAAAACCCGCGCCTGCTCTGCGCTTTCTGGCACCCTCTCTGGAAGATGCCCACATTTCTCCCTCATCTCCTCCACACTCCCCACCGAATCACTTACAGCCTAAAGGAACAGCTGTCCCGATCCTCAGGATGGCTTCAAGCACAAACTCGGGTGCGTTGGCTCCGCTGCTGGCGTCGCCAAAGCTGCGCTGCGGGGCTGCGCGCGCGCGAAGCAAGGGGGCAGTGGGAGGCTCCCGGCGTTCCCCTTTAACGGGAACAACGCCCTGTTTGCGTCGCTGCAGTAGGGTGTGTCCCTGGGTCAGCGTGTGCGAGAGGGCGGGACTCCGGGAGGAGAGGGGGCAGGACAGAGGGAGGGCAGGAGACAGTTAACTTGGCTTTAAATGCACCTCAGGAAAAACTCGGTCTCTGCAAAACCGCAGCGACTTTTACTCGAAACCAGAGGCCGCTGAGCTTTCTTGCCTCCCACCTCCCACCTCCTCTGGCCCCATGGAGATCATGGAAACCTAGTGTTGGTCTAGAAACTGGCCCCTCAGCCCCCTCAGCCCACCTGGGAAGAACCTGCCAGATGCAGCTCCGCAGATGCCCAGGGCTGGGCTTCGGGGCGCGCAGACGCCGACCGCGCCCACGCAGGGCCGGGGCGGGATTCCTCTCCCACTAATAGAGGGCAGCGGGCGCTTTAAGCGCTGGAAAAAGCCCCTCTCCTCTCGGGTCCTGGAGCACCGGGCCTGTCCTGGCGTCTTAGCCGGGCACGCCTGCCCTTCTCTGGTCCCAGCTATTAGTGTGGGCACCTAGGAAGCATGCCGGCTTCCTAGGATTGGCGGGATGGATCTAGCGGGCTCTGTTGAGGTGAAAAGTCTGGGCGACTACTAGACAGCGTGGCCTGGGATTTGGCTCCTGCTACTCCGGCCAAAACCAGACTACCACCGAATAAGCTCCAGGCAAAGTGTGCCCGCAGCAGTCGGCCTTAGCAGTCAGCCTTGCCTGGCGTCCTGGCCGTGGGGTTTGGGGGGCGGGTGCGAGGTGGCCATTTGAGGTGGGGTTGGAGCAGCCAAGGAAATCAGCTGATTCATAGCCTCCTGATGTGGCCCGCCCAGCGTTAAGGGGAGAGAGGCTAGCCTTCAGCCTGGGCTTGGCAGAGGCGCGCCTCACTGAGACGTCCCTGCGCAGGCCAGCCTTGATGCACGGGACAGGGAGCAGGAATGTGGATGATAAAGGTCTTTGCCTGAAAGTGCAGCAATTCACGCATGCACACACACACACACACACACACACACACACACATTTCTCTACCTCTAGTGTACTGCGTCACAGAAGCTCATCACTCTCAATGATTCAAACAATTCAATATAATTGTACTATTTGAAAGGAGCTGCTATTTTACCTAATTGTATATTCTTACTGTGAGTATAAATACATTTGAAAAATTCTTCAACCAGTGATCTTTTAAAAACTCTCATGTTAGATTAAAATGAAGCGTGCTGATAAAAATTGTATTCAGCGCCCATTATATGCCAGGCACTTTGCCTGGACTTTATATGCAAGGTCTGTGAGAGGCAGTACGGTGCAGTGGTTAGGCACTTTGGCTCTGGACTCCAGCAAACCTGATCACCTTGCTTTACATCTGTTGTGACTTTGGGTAATTTCTGAAGTTCAGTGAGCTTCAGTTTCCTGAGGTGCAAAAGGAACTAATAATCCCTGTTTTAAAGGTTTACGGTGATGATTGAAGGAGACAATAGGTACAAAGCAGTTAACATAGTGTCTACAACAGAATAAGGGCCCAGTGCCCGAATTACCACCACGATTATTACCTCACATTTAACTCTCACGTTAACCCTTCAAGAATGACCTGACCACCTCTGCACTAAAGTAGCTTGTAACTCGTATAAGGTAGGTAGGTAGGCAGGTAGGCAGGTAGGTAGATAGATAGATAGACAGATAGATAGATAGATAGAGATTTATAAATGAAAGTGCATATGCAATAGAAAAGTATAAAGACATGGAAGTGTTTCCTTTCCTCCATGGGTCATTTTTTGGGTTAGATTTGCTCTAGAAATTATTACTTTATGTCATTTGGACTTTTATTTATTTAACCAACATTTACATGATCACTACATTCTCAGAACTGTTCTAAGTAAGCACTTTACAAATATTAGCCTATCTAACTCAGGGTTTTCTTTCCCTTCCTTTCTGATTTTCGAATAAACGTTTTAATGAAAGATATACACATACAGAAAAGTGCACGTATTGGGAGGCACAGCTCGCTTCTGGCTTTCTTTTGAACCCAGTATTTTAATCCATAACCACTGTTCACAGCCACACCATACACTGCCACACAGGTAAACCCAACCCATCTGTTTCTCACTGCCTCTGGCCTCCTGCCTGGCTCTCAGTGGTGGGAGAGTGCCTGCTGACCAGGCTTGCCACACCCAGAGCCTGGCTGGCCAAGGATCTGCCACAGGTGGCAGCTTCTCCCTAACCTGCTTACCACGGCCACCTGCCAGCTGAGTGCACACAGCTATTTTCCATGGAGGAAAAAGCATCTAGATCCCTTTCTTCCTTTCAATCTGGATGCATTAGGGTTTCTAGATGCTCTCAGATGGCCCCCTCACCTCCCCAGCTGGGTGTATATCCACCTCTTAACCAAGGAGGTAAAAAGCCCTCTCAATTTCCAGTCAATTCCAACACAAACGCACCGTCTTCTCTGCAACCTTTTCATTTGCAGCTTGCAGGGGGTGGGGAATTAGACGATTCTTGTAAAGCGTAAGTGCACGTCCCCCAGAGGCACAGTTTGCCAATAAAACTCACCTGGCCGAACAGTATAACCCCTTCTTCCAAGCAGATTTCTTTTCAGTGAAATGCAAGGGATGCTAAGGCAAGGCCCTCCCCACAAGGCAGTCAGACCTGCAGCCGACAGACTAAGCCAGCAGCTTCCAACCAGGCTCCCCGAGATGTTCCCTGGTGGTGCTCCCTGTAACTGAAGCCAGACCAGGCATCTTTCCAGTTTATTCAGGGGCTGGTCCAATGCTGGGATATGTCATGGTGGCCTGAGAAGTTCTCAGCCTCTACTATTTAAAGAGACAGTGTCCAACTTTGTGTGCTTTCCAGGGCATGGAGAAACTGGAATTGGAAGGGAGAAGAGCTTTGAGTATATCTGAAACCTGTGATGCCGAGGCTGTTCTCTCTGGAAGTGCCAACCTGCGTAACAGCCAAGAGACCCCACTGATTCTCAATGCCCTCTCCTCCCAGTGAATTCTGCAGAGATTAAATATACTGTGTGAAGGGTCTGCATCTACAGCGTTACCTATGTACAGGTAAGTTTTATTTTAAATAAACATCATTTTAAGGAGCCCAGACATGGCACAGATAATCTCTCACAGCATCACAGCAGTGAACCAAATGTCTCAAGAATCATCAAATCAAGTCTGCTTTGTTCCAACCCCTGGTTGGAAAGACTCTCTGCTACCTGCCCCGTCTGCCTAGACTCCATCGCAAATGATCACAAGTATTTATTGTACATTAGAATAAAACTTAGACAGGCCAGATGCCATGGCTCATGCCTGTAAATCCCAGCACTTTGGGAGGCTGAGGTGAATGGATCACCTGAAGTCAGGAGTTTGAGACCAGCCTGACCAACATGGCGAAACCCCGTCTCTACTAAAAATACAAAAATTAGCCGCATGTGGTGGCGGGCACCTGTAATCCCAGCTACTCAGGAGGCTGAGGCAGGAGAATCACTCGAACCCAGGCGGCAGAGATTGAAGTGAGCTGAGATTGCACCATTGCACTCTAGCCTGGGCAATAAGAGTGAAACTCTGTCTCAAAAAAAAAAAAAAAAAAAAAAAAAAAAAAAAAAAAAAACTTGGTGGGTTCTTCTGACTGTCTTTAATGTGCCCTCATCAAGCTGACCTTCATGAGATAAAATTAATGCAAGTAAACAAACCTCTGTTGAAAACTTTCTAACCTGTCAGGCAGGATAGGCTGAAAGAGCAATTGGAAAGTCTTGGAGAGGGAGGTGAAGGAAGTCATGGCAGTTTTCAGGTTCTTCGCAGCATACCCACTCTGCTCTCAGAGAGTCCACCATCCCTTGAGCTGCTTCTAGCTGGAGGCCCCAACACAAGGGGACTGGGTTTCATTGCCTGAGTTTCCTGAAATTCTGGCACTTGGGGCATAAGACTTCGTCTTGCGTCAGGGATCCCCAGTTTGGAAAGACTCGGAGGGTTTGGAGAAGTCCCTCCCTGTCACACACTTTATGTGTGGTTGGACTCCCAAGTCACAAGCGCCTCTCAGTGGCTCTCTCCCTTCTTCTGCCCACAGACAGCATCTGCTCACAGCCAGCATCACAGCCAGTGCCAATAAAACAGTTTCACCTTTTTCTCTTTGCTGAAATTATTTTTATTTTTCCTAGCAGTGGTTCTTTAGAATCACTCAAGAGCTTTGCAAATGACCTAGCCTGGGCCATGCTCAGAGAAGCTGACTCAGGTGGTTTGGGATGGGGCTCAGGTATGGGCAATTTCCAGTGTCTCTCTTTCCCCTGGATATTTCGTTGTCTAGCCAGGTTGTCACGTGGAGTTAGATTGTCCCTGATTTCCTCCCAGCTCCCTTCTGTTATGGAACCCAAATGGAGACGAGGTGCAGTGTGGACTACTGAAGTATTATACAGGTTATAGGTCAGTTCTGTCAGGCAAAACAAGGGTGTGTGTGTGTGTGTGTGTGTGTGTGTACGAGAGAGAGACAGAGAGAGAGACAGAGAGACAGAGAGAGAGAGAGAGAGAGAGAGAGAAGAGCCTCCCTCAATCCTCCATACAGGGACTCTGAACAGTGAGCATGGTTTTCCCAGCCTCTCCAGACAGCCTTTTTTCTGGGTGCTGCCATGATCAGCTCCAAAGTTTACATGACAGAGGCTGCTGACCCTCAGGCCAGGATCAAGCCTGGAGACATTAAAGAATATTATTTCTGATCTAAGAGCTAAAGATTCAGAGGAAAACAGGTGGGGCCAGGGAGTGTGGGGGCATGGTTTCTGGTGGACAGGACCAATCTGATCAGCCCTCCCTCTCTCCTTTCATGAGCTCCGCATTCTGAGACCTGCTCTCCTGGCTTCATGTCTCTCTTGCCCAGATCCTCCATCTCCAGCAGGCAAGCACTGGAGCCCCTGTTGGCTGTCTGCACCACAGATGATCACTGTTGTATTCCACTGGTCCCGTCTACCAGATGCCAACACACTTGTCTCTACCCATCTGGGCCAGACTCTTCCCTTCCCACAGATTCAACCGAGGAAAGCTCCTTCCTGGTCCCCTGTCTCCCATTTCCAATCACCCTGTTCTCAGCCAAATGGGTCCCCATCCCAGGCATCTGTGTTGACCAGTGTCTCTGCAAAGCTGTAGGCAGCATCCCACTGAGCCTCTTGCAGAATAAACACGTAGAACAGTCACCAAATAACTTTTATTATCATTTACTATCCTTCCCTCTATTTATGGATAGGAAAAATAAGAATCGGGAAGCTTCTCTGAGGAAACATGGTTGAGTCAATGAGACTGGCTGGAAATATCCAGCACCTAGCTGTTCTGCTGCACCAAGCTCCATCGGCTCAGTAACATCAAACATCCACAAGTCCTGATAATGATGATAACAGGTCGTATTTACTTCGTGTTTAGTAAATGTCAGGCACCATCTTGAACATCTTTTATGCATGAAATCACTTAATCCCCACAACTGTATGAAATGGGCACCCCATCATCCTCTCTTAGAAGAGGGAGAAACTGAGGCACAGCGAGATGTTCAGTCAGTTTCTCAAGACACACTGCAAAGAAATGACAGAGGCTGGATTCCAACCAGGCATTCTGGCTGTAGATCCCGTATTCACGGCCTGGGCTATCTCACATTTTACCGTGCCCCTAATTGTATCCAGCACGTTCCTAGCGTACCTTTACCTTTCTCATCGCGCTTCCATAGACACTATCCTTTAATTTCCTATTTGCATGGAAGATATTGTCACATTGTACATATTTATGCATTCACATTTCATTAAAAGGCAAGAACATATCCTAAGACATCTATGTTTTTCAGCACCAGTCACATTAGGACAGCTTTTAAGAATCCTGTCTCATCCTGCCAACAAGGCTGTGAGCTCCTCTGGGGACAGTTGCATTCCATACATCTGTGTAGCACCAGCACTGGCCAGAATCCTATCTGTAGGTGACAATTTGATTTCATAAGAGTGAAATGCTGCCAGGTGTGGTGACTCACGCCTATAATCCCAGCACTTTGGGAGGCCCGGGCAGGTGGATCAGCTGAGGTCAGGAGTTCGAGACCAGCCTGACCAACATGGAGAAACCCCATCTTTATGAAAAATACAAAATTAGCAGGGTATGTTGGTGCATGCCTATAATCCCAGCTACTTGGGAGGCTGAGGCAGAAGAATGGCTTGAACCCAGGAGGCAGAGGTTGCAGTGAGCTGAGATCATGCGATTGCACTCCAGCCTGGGCAACAAGAGTGAAACTCCATCTCAAAAAAAAAAAAAAAAGAAAAAAGAAAAGAAAAGAAAAGTGAAATGTTGTCCTTGACAGTGGAATCCCAGCAGACTCTTGAAGAGAGAGGAAGCCCTCTGCACTTTATAGCTAATAAAATGCTGTTGCATATAGTAGTATCTTATCTAAGAGGAATCATTATAATCGTTTTCTATGTGAAGAAACTGAGGCTTGAAAAATTTACATTTCCTCCAGGGACCAAGTGAATGCCAGGGCTGGGGCTTTTAAAAGCCAGTTCCTCTGTCTTCCAAATCTGTGATTTTTTTCCCTATGCAGGCTCCCCAGAGAGAAAACCAGAGGCAAGTCTGAGCTCGGTGTTTGTCCAGGTGATGAAGTTGTTGTTGGAGCATCTATCCCACCAGGTGCTCAGTCAATATCTGAAGAGTGTTTACTCTAAGAATGAAGTCTTTCCTGTGTCCTCATAGCCAGCAGCCTGTGTGGGAGTTATTGGCCAGCCCTGGACACAGCTGGCCTGGAAGAGTCCTCAAAAGTCAGAGTCCTGCCTCATCTAGACTCAGCTAGACTGTTTTGATGTTGAGTGAGAGCAGCTTGTAGAAAGAACAAGCAAGGCAGGGAAAGAAGGCAGAGGGGAAAGAAGGAAGGAAGGAAGAGAGGAAGGGAGGAAGGGAGGGAGGGAGGTATAGATAGGAAGAGGGAAGGGAACGAGAAAGAGAAGAGAGAATAAAAGAACAGAAGGAGCCAGTTTGACTTCTGTGACAGAATCTTCTATAAAGAAGCAAGTTTGAAATTATGTCAGGTCCCAATCCCTAGAAGACATTCCCTATGAACAACACAGATGCAGGCAGAAAGCAACCTAATGATAACACAAAAAACTCACATTGGCACAGGACCGTTCCCTAAATGACATCTTTAAAATACAGAAAGGTATCCTGGAGCAAATTGTATCTTTAACTCCTTCACCTGTGGGAGAGAAAAGTCACAGAATTATTATGCTGTGGCAGTGAGACCAGACCAAGTACAAAGGATTCTCTGTTCCCGAATGCATTGTTGCTTAGGAAAGCCAGATTCCACAGATGCAAGTGGAGGGAAGGAAGCTTTTCTCTGACATCTCATGAGCTAGCAGATAGAGGATTCGGGAGCGATTTTAAGCAAGAGTCGGAAATGGATGTCTACTTGGGACTGCAAACTCTAAAGCTTTTCTAAGACTGTTTACTCCAAAGTGAAAATGCTTCTGCTCCAGTAGGGCACAGGTTCAAATAAGATGGGGAAGCCGAGCTATCTTGCCACATGGGAATGGACAGAATGGGGAGGAATGCAGGGATTTTCTGGGCTGCTGCAGACCAGGCATAGCAATGTCGAGAAAAGCAGCCTTGGCTTGATGTGAGAGGTTGTTCTCATTGAGAGAGGTGCACAGGAAAGGCCACTGTCACCCAAGGAAATGCCTGCTTTAGGCAGTCAAAGCCACACCAAGAAATGGGGCATTAATCTCCAGCAAGGACAAGGTGAACGCGAACAGTTTGG